GTGCTGCCATGTTTAGTCCTTATTATGCACCCAGCCCTTGGTGGTTTCTTCTTTTTTTTTTACAGAAACACAGAATTGTTTTAATTATTACATTTTTTTTTGCTTACAGCTGACTTTCGCAAACTTGTAATGCAAATATATTGTTCTCTCAATTTCGCTTTACAATGAAATTCCTAAATGAATTATAGTTGAATAATATATCACTTCCGAATCGCTGTCCTAGCGTCAGTAGTTTGTTGGCTTCTTTTCACATTACATTATGTCATCATTATGTTTTATAATGCACTTTACTTTTTAATTGAGAAATTTTACCAGGCTGTGTTTTATTTATCAACCTGCCGCTCTGCCGCTCCGAGACGTGCTTTGAACCGCGAGCTCGCAATGGTATGAAGCCTCAAAAAATGATTTGCTAATACTCCCCCGTGGTTGAGCTGACGAACGTGGTTCCGAGTGCGTCCCGACGCAGTATACGGCCAGTTCTTTTTTGAGGGCGTGCGTCGGACTGCTTTGTGCTGACACGGCGCTGGCGAACGAGAGAGCGGGCAGTCGACTCCCTCAGTTATACTCCGGTTAACCTTGCGATATACTGCAAGAGACGGTACGAGATGTCGACACCAATCCAGTGCCGCGTGAGTGTCATGTGATCTTCAGGAGGAGGAGAGCAGCGACGCGCGTAGTGCCTAATCACGTGATACGTTCAGATCGCCGGACTGACTGGGATTGCTCGTAGCGTCCTCTGCGGTCCATCGTGAGGAGAAACGGCGTATACGGTGGATCCCATTTCAACGCGACAATCTGCTTTTAGCTTCCGGTGGTCCCATTGGTGAGCGATAACCAGGAAAGACCGCCAATGAGATGCGACCGAAATTGTTAGCGATAACTCGAGGAAGGCCAGGCTGGCTTAAAAAACGAATTCTAAATTTGTGCATTGCACTTGTTTGTTAAGGAGGGAACATGAGGGTTCTACTGCTCACTCTACTTGCATTTGAACGTAAGTAATTTTACATCTCGTTCTACTCGAGTGGTCACTATTAGGTATGATAACAGTTGTTATTGCACTACAACTATATTCTCCGTGACCAGTTTAAAAGTCACCAGGAATCAATCCTGTCCTCTAAGAATTACTTATGAGAACAGTTGTTCAAATGTGTGTTGCTGCAAAGTGTACATTCTCCACGAAGTCTCGGATTAAAACTGCGCAGCAAATTTCCAATGAGTGCTTTACTCTGGGCGCTTTTATTTGGCTGTCTAGAATAATGTTAGCCCAGTTGGGGCAGCCCCCAAAGCACTAGACGTGTTTCTAACTAATTTTTCTGCATAAAAAGATAAAAAGAACGCCATAATTTTGCAGAGCCGGCGACGTGTTCCCCACTCTAAAAAAAATTTGTGCGTCTACTTTCACGCTCAACACTCGGAGAGCCAATCACCGCAACTTACGAAGGCAGCTCAGCCAATGACAATGCCGAAACACATGTTTAGACCAAGAAACGCAGTCTGAGTTGTGACATTAAGCAACGCAAAATGTCACTCTTGCATTGCTTAATATCACAACTCAGACTGCGTTTTTTGGTGTAAACATATGTTTTGGCATTGTTATTCGCTGAGCTGCCTCCGTAAGTTGCGGTGATTGGCTCTCCGAGTGTTGTGCGGAAAAGCAGACGCACGGGCTTTCTTTAGAGTGTACGTCGTTCATTCGTATTGTGATCACACTGTCGACCAGATCCTCGCATGGAGTGGTGGGTCAAGTGATGAAAGCGAGGTGGCTGATTGGTGCGGCGTGAGAGTAGCTGCCATCGCAGTCTCGTCTTAAGGGTGAATAAAGTGCATAGATGAATAAGAGTCTTTGAGTGCCTGGGGCGGGTATAAGTTCAGGTTGTGCCTAGGGCAGGGTTTTGTAAGGAAACCGATTACGTCACACAACTGTCTTTTTGTGACTTACGCGCGCTTCACTTCAGCGCCACCCGTATACAAAGTCTATACGCTGCATTTTCTGGGTAGCTAAAAGAAAAGTGCGCTTTTCTGGCATTTTCACTCCAACTGGTTCAGCGTGCTCTTTCTGCACCACCTATTTCCCCTCCTCTCTTTCTTGCACTTTCCAGCACTCTCTGTCGGCTGCATTCTCCCACTACCCGCTCCTGATCCTCCCGTTCTTGCCTACTGTGTCCGTAGCTCAGTCAGCAGTGCACTCTTCTTCCCCGCCAGTGTCCGAAAGTCAATCCCCAACGCCGGCCGCTTTTTTTTTTTTTTTAAATATTATTTGGCGGTTAGGGGCTGACTTACAAACACAATTTGTGCTTACGCGGCTCCTGAGGTTGGTTGGAGTATATAAAACTGTTGGTTTAAGAATAAAATGCTTTTATTTTTCCAAAAACCAAACAAAGTCTTCCGTACAAAAGAAAAAGAAACCTGTAGTAACTCGATTGATGGCACATTGTGTGGACATTTCGAGCCTTATCTCAGGAAGACAAATTGTCTAAATACTGATTGGCTTCCGCTTTATCACTTAGGCTTCATGTGAGAAATTGCAGCTGGTGCAGGTATTAAACCTGAATATTTGCAACAATAGGCTTAATCAGTGGCGTCGGAACAGGGGGGGGGGGGGGTGGCCATTTTAGACAGGCAAGAAATTTAGTGCAAACAATACGTGGGAGGGGGTGCAAAATCGCCGTCGCCTCCCCACCACGACCACCGTCACCCTTCCCCCCCCCTCCCTCTCTTCAATAGTTCCGACGCCTTTGTGGTAATCATAAAGTTTGGGTGAGATTGGTATAAATAAACACAGTGAAGGATATCCAACACAGTGTGCTTGCAAAAAGGTAAAATTTAGTTTTTAAATTTTAATAAATGTGGAATTTAACGGCTATGAAATACATATATACTCTCCCCAAAATAAAGGCATTTTTGTGTAAACGTTCCAGACCTTTACAAATTCTCGTTAAAAAAAAAACTATTTACGCCGGTGCTTTTTGTCGAACAACTGCCTTAGATTGTTTTTATTAACTTTCAGGGGTCTTTTAAAAAGCTGAAGTGCGGGGATTATTTAGAGTGCATGAACGATCCGAAATTAAAGTAAGAGATACTATACCTCAAGTAGTAAGATCAGGATTATCGGCTGCGTTCACAGAATTTCAACCTTTTATTATAGCGATATCGTACTTTGCATTACGCAGGAATTTATTGATAAGTAAGTTGCAGTGAATCAATTACAAATAAACTGGTTGTCCTCCAGTGTTACGTATTGGAGTGGGTTTAGGGTGTCACACCCATAATATGCTTTAATAGCTGACTTTGGGAAACCTGTCATATCAGTAGAGTAAATGAACAAAATTACTATTAATTTAATCAGCTTATCCAGCTAGAAGTGAGAGTGGTACCAAGCTCCAATATTGGTGCTGTTTCAGTCGCAACAATGGGGTATTTAGTGGTTTCACCACTCTGAGCTGATTACGCAAATGTCAATGATAGCTTGTCGTCATTAGCGTCGACAGAAAGTAATATATAAAATAATCGAAATATGCCCATTCTTAGCATTAGGATTCTGGTGTTCTGTGTGAATCAAGGCCCGTTCACACTCTTGCAACCGAGTGCGACCGAGAGAGACCAAACCGGTTTTTAAGCCTCTTGCGATCTCTTAGGACCAGCTCCGCTCAGTGCATCCGGTCCCAAGAAGTCTTTCTCGGTCGTACTCGGTTGCAAGAGTGTGAACGCGCCTTCATGGTGCAGCATTGAATGTTATGCCATCTCATTTATTCCTTAGAATTGACACAGTACTACTCAGCGTTGCGAAAACCTTCCTCTCGCCTCCATGTAACTCGTTGCTCAAGGAGGAGATGGCATCTTTCCCTGGTATTGCGTGTAGAGCGTCAACACGTCAAGGCCGAACGATACTTGTTCACGTGCAGCACACGTGCATTGTGTATCACGTGCAGCAGAAGTTACGTTGGAGAGCCCGCCATAGTTTGATGGACATCCAACGGAGAAGCTCAGCTCTCACCCTTGTAAAATCCTTGGACTCTGCACTCATGTGGGGCAGCATACAAAAGACTGCCTTGTTCTCCGACCTGCGCTGTTCACCGACACCACGTCACTCCAAGCCCTCAGACACGAGTAATATATCTAGCAGAGTGAGTAAGTGACAGCGGCATGAGAGGGCCCCAAACGACGTACAGGCCGTTTCAAGAACGTCGCATTGTAGCGCAGAGACTTAGCAGCAAACGCCAGTCTAGTCATTCACAACTCAACAAACGCAGGGTGTGGCGAATTCCGAGCACCCTATCATAGCTCCGCAGCTCATAATATTGCGCTATTAACCCATAAAAAAAGAGTGAATCGCGATGCAAGGACTCAGCATAATAAGACACGTCCTGCCTTTCTTCAACAGTCAGTGACTACGTCACTAAAAATTGTCGACACTCAAGGCGCGTGCATTTACGTGCGATACTTATTAATCCATATTCAAGCAATCATTTTATATTATATCATAATTTGCCACAAAATATACAAATGGTGCTTGGACCCATAGCCAAAGATTAGTTTGGGATCCAATAACAAAATATATCTTGGAATGCGAAAGGGGCTACGGGCACAGCATAAAATAAAAAAAAGAACAGAACAAAATATTAACATAATAGGTAATTCTACAATTTACTAATCTTAAACACAGGATAATAACATTTTTATCTATACTTTTATTTAAAAACTTAAGTAAAACAAAAATATTTTTTTGAAGATGCCAGGAAGTAACTTTTCACTTTCACATTGCAAGGTATAATATTCGAGATTAAGGCAACATGAAACACTCTTGCGGTCACATTAACGGCTGCCAAACAGTATCATCTGATACTGTTTTTTGTCGGCCACTTTGTGCACATCCAAGCCGTTTTGCTTGATTTAATATTACTTGGAGTGTGCTGCGAAACAAGAGATATTTATGGAAACTCGTTGTAATATAAAACGAAAAGTATATTTTCAACTCCTTTTTTTCAGAAGCTGCTGGCTTCCGGTGGTCAATTAAAGTCTCGCCAACACCTCGAGGTTAGTACTGTTCGAGAGCTCACATTTACCAATCTGGTCTTTAATTAATAATGTGTAGTTCTTTCAAGTTCAAGTGAGTAATGTTAGTTGAGGACACCCCTAGTATATGTATATGCGTAGGTATAGGGCATTTTAAACGCCATTCACTTCAACGAATGGGTTCGCAGCAAGAATCGCTCAGCGTTCTTCAGTTCCCAGATAGAAAGGCAACACTCACTGGTTGTTTAGTGTTTGTTCTCTAATTGTTCGTGGTTCTTTTTTATTTATGTTTTTATGTTACTCTTTTAGATGCATGTGGTGTGCCTCGAAATTTAGTTGATAACAACATGCGGTCACCTTATTTAAAGTAAGCGAGAATTCATTAAACAACGTAATACATAAGCGATTTGTATTTCTTTTCGTTTGATGAGTACATGATTATCAAACCTCCGTGTTCCCTTGATTGCGGAAGTCTACACGCACAAGCGTTCGTTCTTTTCCGAATACAACCTACAGTATGGGATTTCACTTGTAAATATTGTCACGTGTGGTGACCAATAAACAATAAACAATAAATAAACAGAAAGAAATAAACGTTTAATGTGGCGAACTTGTGCCAAAAATAAAAGGGTACAAAAGGTAATAACGGAGCGTCGCGGGCGTCTAAGTCGGCGTAGCAGCAGAGTCGAACGCTGGGCGAAAACTGACTGCAGATCAGCACGCGGAGTCCCTTATGTACGCGCGTTGGGTTCTGGAACAATCGGCCTAGATTGTTCGGCGACTGGAACATTCAGAACTCGATCTGACGAGAATGTTCTCGAACTCACGAGAACGCAATGAAAGAACAAATAAAAGAGCATTCCACTGACTGGAATCGAACCCAGACTTTCTGCACGACAGTCAAGCACGGTAGCCACTCGGCCACGCGCGCTTTTTTTTTTTTTTTTTTTTTCTTTATTGCCTGGTTTAAACAGAGCATGAAACACCAACACATACACTCAGAGCATTGCTAAAATCGCCGGCCACTCCTTGGCTGGCGCGGGTGGATTAAAAAGGTTTTAAAGCAACCAGCTCGTCCAAAACAGGGAGCCATTCAGGCTGCTCCCTCTGCGCTTTGTACATCGCCCTTATATGCACAACACTCTCCACGAAGTACTCTCGGACTGGACGCGCATCCACGTCCGCGTGACGCACAGCCATCCGCGTTCGCCAAATACTATGGAGGCTCAAAACCATGAACATATCATAGGGCACGCTGCCGCTCTTGTCGACCGGAAGGAAACGAATGCCGCGGGGTGAAACAGGAAGATCCTTTTTTAAAGTGCGCTGAAGGATGTCCCAATGGAATATGGCATCCCAGCAGTCGAGGAATATATGTTCTACGGTTTCAGGTTTACGGCATAACAGGCAATTGGTCGTCCAGGGAACAAAAAGACCCCTTTCCTGAAGCCAGGTTTTAACGGGTAGCGTGCCGCTATGTAGCTGGAAAAAAAAACTCTTTGCGGACGGTCGAATCGGCATTCTTTTGACCCTTTTCAGCACATCGCTACCAATGTCCTCACAGTACAATGAACGGTACAGAGGAACAGGCAAAACCGTATCCACCAGGTCTTTGTACAAACGCTTTCGCGGCACCAAACTCAAATATTCTAATGAAAAGCGCACCTTCAGAAATCTAAAAGCCAAAACTACTTCACGCAGAAAACCTTGGATCCTCCCGCATTTCACATTGTCAGAAGACACAACAAATTCAGGCAATGCACTACTCAACCTTACTTGCACAACATTGCGTAGAAATGGATTTCTCATGTCACGCAAAAAAATAAATCTAGATACCACCTGCCGTAAGAACAAATGAACCAGGCCTAGACCGCCACTTTTAACTGAACGAAACAGGTTTGTACGACTGGTGCGTTCCCACACCGAACCCCAAACAAAGACCGCAAACACTCTATGGATTTTCTGAACACCGGCTCTCGACATGCACAACACCTGCAGCACATACCATATTTTAGCCACAATAAACAAGTTACAGACCGTTGCGCGAGCAAACATCGAAAAACCGTGTCCCCCCCACTTAAGTGTCTTCGTTCGAGCCTGTTCCGCTTCGTCTCTCCAATACTGTCTTGTGTCTTGGTAATGCTCGAGTGGCACCCCGAGATACTTAACAGGTGCACGAACCCACTGAACATTCTCAAAGACTGCTGGCTTGCTTTCCCAGCTACCGTGCCAAAATCCCAGGCACTTGCTCCAGTTAATGGTGCTTCCCGACAGCTTACAAAAACAAGCAGCTTCTTTGACAACCTCACGTATACTATCGGTGTCATCACAAAAAACGGCGATGTCATCCGCGTAAGAGAGAACCTTGACCTCACATGAGGTCAAGCGAAAGCCGCGTATTTTCTCGTTCTGAATAAGCTTTAAGCAAAACGGTTCTAGGTACATTGCGAACAACAAGGGTGACAACGGACACCCTTGCCTGACCGAGGACCGGACTTTAAAACTTTCGGTTACATTTTTGTTAACAATGACACTAGTAGAACACTCCGCGTAAGCCATTTTAACACCTTCTAAAAGCACTGAACCAACATTGGCATGTTCTAAGATGCAAAAAAGAACCTCATGCGAGACACGGTCAAAAGCCTTTTCTAAGTCCAGCTGTAGCATAGCAACGCGGCCTTCAAGTGCGTCGCAACATTCTAGAATGCTTCTGGCCACGTGAATGTTGGTGGCTATCGTTCTTCCCTTGATGCCACATGTTTGATGGGGGCCTACAATTATTGTTATTACAGCTTACTCGGCCACGCGCGCGGTCGCTCGCTGACCAGCGTGGCAATATTACCGTGACGTTTTATTTTCGATTACGAATTGTTCAATAAGCAGCATACTCTCTTAAACCACGTCTTGTGGGACTTTGTTTATTTTCTTATTTCTTTTTAGTATTTATTTTAGTCCAGCTATGGCTTTCAGTGAAGAGCCGCTGTACTGTAACATACAACAAAAATGAGGCGTTTTGCATTAAACCTGATTACGTTAAATGAATACGAAGCTTTTTTGGTGAGGATTATCAAAAATATAGCTTTAAAGTCCGGGAGAGCTTTTAGCAGCACCTATTAAAGAACGCGCGCATCACAATGACCGCCAACTTTTGAACAAATTGTGAAACACTGCGGGGTTCCAAGTTCTTCTGTGAATATACAGTGTGTTCGATTTTAATACGAACATATTTATTTTGGAAACCCATAAAAGATACACTAATCTGGTCTATGTAAATAAATTATACGGCCAGAGGGCATACTGTGAAGGCTAATCGTCACGTTAAGTCGAATCAAAAACAAAAATTTGTTAATTACTTTTCATTTATTTATTTTCAAACTCTCGAGGCCCGGTAGCTTTACAGAGAGGATTGGATGGTGCAGAGGAAATCGTTGTCACGCTTCTTGAAATATGTGGCGTCATTGATTGACCGGGCTGCCGTATCCCAAATGGAACACGCATGTTTAAGTTTTGGCTTGACTAAGCTTTTTTGTAATTGCAGTTTGACCAGAAAATTAGGGGAGCGGAAGTGGCGGCGCGAAAACCCAGACATACGATTGGCATTGTTAAATACGTAGCCGACGTGCATGTTCCAGGAAAGGCTATGAGTTATGGAATACAAAGATGATTCTATGACGCAGCTGAAGATAATGGTATATCATTAAGGATGTAAATGGCACGATCTGTGTTTTAAGAAGGACGGGAAACACGGATGCGTTTAAATTTAGCAATGTTACGCTTCAATAGCTTAACGTGGCTAATTATTACGAAGCAAAGTTAGGCTAGCTGATATATTTTAATGTTTTATTATCATTTTAATTAGAGCTATCTGAGTATCATCAATAACCAGACTTGCACACGTTACTGACAAAAGTAACCGATTACAATTGCAATTGCAGCCTCAAAGAAGAAATTGAAAAATTACTCTAAAGTACTCGATTACTTTTCGCGTTACTTTTCATTAAACTTTTTTTTTATTACAGTAATCCTTGGGGTCTCGCGCTCAGTTGTCCCAAAAGAAAAAGCCTTGACCATTTTTGTTTAGAGCTGAGTGACGCCAACACACCCGATTTCTCTCGTGAAAAAATGAAATAAAAAGAGCGCTCTTTAAGTTTATTACTCACAAGAGGATGGATAAGGTCATTTTTCAGACACCAATGTAATCTCCGGTCTACAAAAAAAAAATGTACCCAGCAAAGGAAGCATAGTGAAGTGGCTTACTAATCCTCGAGGTTCCGTGCTTAGTGGTTTTGAAAAAACAAAACAAAACAAAAAAAAAAATTAACTTTGCCCAGAGCTGAGTGCCTCCAGCACATTTAACCCTCCCCCCCCCCCCCCCCCCCAAAAAAAAGGAAAAATTGCAATCGGTGATTTTGTAATCGATTACAGCAAAAAAGTTATTCAATTACAAGGCTTGTCACTCATTAAAGAAAGTAATTTGAAGCGTTACAAAATTACAGTAAAATGCAATCGATTACAAGTAATCCATTACTTGTAACGTGTTTCGTACAAGTCTGTCAATAACTCATAAAGCAGTCGGTTTGAGAAGGAATAAGAACGCGCAGGGAGCGCGGGGCTGCCCTAAAATTAGCGCTCGTTCAGCAGGCACAAAGACTAGCTGTTAAAAAATGCTAACCAAATTATCATGCCCCTTTTAGCACTGCCCGAGTTGTGCCTCATGCACAAACGTATTCCACGTATCTAAATTGCTCTAAAATTGACTGGCAGTGATTTTCGACGACGCTTGGAACTATGTGTTTACCTTTAATATTTGCAAAGTGAAAGATCATATTTTATGTAATTATTCGACTTGTCAAGATTAGCCAGGTACAGGGTGAAACAAGGAGACGCCAGGCTCTTTAAATCAACAGGGAAATTCGGTTTCTTAACCTATCGCGCTACAACTTTGTGCAGCGTTGCCCACAGATGGTGCATTTTTTTTTTTGTAAAATTTGCGAAGAGCCAACTTACCTGAGGAAGAAGTA